AGGATGAACAAGCACAATGAAAGGTTCATTTGACAGGAAGCTCATAAATGTTACCTTTTTTTGGTGGTGACAGTGTGAGCTGCAGCATCTCCTGACTGACCTCATTCACAGAGATGACTGGTATTTCATGTGTGACAACGTGAAATGTTCACACCAGCCAACCCAAGTTCTGTCTGCTTTTAGCACCCCACACTCATGCATTGCTCTTATTTCAATTAAAGCACCGAGCGAGTCACAAGATAATTGCACGAACCTTGCGAGAAATTGCCAGGCTCTCAATTATTCTGTCCTTTTAACATCTTACCTTGGATCCTAAATTGATCCTTTTGGCAACTTCAAAGGTCCTCATTTGCATCCCTGTTGTGGTTGGAATAAAGCGTGTCATGCTGTCTCCTCTAAGCAGGGATAAGGAAGACAACACACCTCGTTTCACCTACCGCCCTGCACTTACTGGGATGCACTTGTGGTTTGTTCTTCCCTAAGACAAGCGTCTGCTGTGCAGTGATATTTTGGTACCACAGTGCCACCTATTGGCCTTACAGTAAGACAAGCAATGGATCATTTCAGCCCAGAATTCTCTTTTGTAAGCCTGGTAATGTTTTAAATGCACACAACACAAAGTTATTTCATGCATTATGTCCTGTCTAAGAGCTTTTGTTGGCCCTCAGACAGAAAATAATGCATGAAATGAAGATGAAATCACAAAACAATGAAAAACATTCCCTTCTAAACATTTCCTGATTTGCTGTAATATGGCAGAATTAAGTTATTCCTCCCATTTTACCCAGGAAACGAACCGATTTGTCTTTGGAGATATTGCAGGGGTCACCACAGGGGGACTTGAAAGGAGAAAAAGGGAGTGTGAGCGAAACAGAACAAAACTATTACATCTTTTATCATTTCCCTCTCCTATAACCTCGTTGCGCATGGTGGAGCTGAGGTCTAGACATTGTGGAAAGGCAATCGCCATCCATCATGTCCGATTATGCCGTTTAGATGTAATTGCAAACCCTTAAGGATTGCTCCACCAACATCATCCATGCACACACAAACACACCTGCAGGGGAAAGAAAGGGGCGAGTATCACTGTTGAGAGAGAGAGAGAGAGAGAGAGCCACCTCCATACACATTTCACAGACAATCAAATTAGAGCTGGCGTTCAATACATCACTGACAAATTGTTTATTAAACAAAAGGCTTGAATTGCAGCATAACTGAGAAAGATTCAAGCGATGAGAGAGGAGCGGGGGCTTTTATGACTGTATGTGCCCATGTAAGGAAGGCAGTGTTGCACGAACACACCATTTATGTCTTCTTCTACATTTAGCAACGCACCGTGAGGATATACACACCGGGATAAAACAATGTCAATGAGGTCATGAGTGGAGCATGGCACTACCACTGTTAGTGTTTGACTCCCAACGGGGCCACCCACGTTCAAATGGCACAGTGAAGCACTTTGGTTGAAAGCGTCATACGTTAGAATGTGCTGGGATCATTTGCTTCCTGTCATCTCTTTTATTTAACAGTGAGGAACCTACAGGCAGGTCATAGAGGCATACTTCATACAGCTGATTGTATAGCAGGCGTTTTGAAGTTTTAAGTGTCTCAGATGTGTACTAAGATGCATGTGGCCATTATGCGACATTTATCATTTCATAGATTCCCCTCTGAAAAGGCTTTACAGTGAAATGGATCTCCGGCTGTAATGAGCAGTGGCAGTAAATCCGCTCCACCCTGAAGAAGTGATTTATTCACGGTAGGAGAGGAGGTTTCAATTGACATTTTGATATGTTGTGACCTTTATTCTCCATTGAGTTCACAACTATTTTGAATTTGAAGTGATGAAAGACCACCTTTTAAAACCTTTGTTACAAAAAAGATAGATTTTGACTTGAACAGAAGGGAGCTAAAAGTGAAACTGCCTCGGGGTAACTAGCAAGTTTAGTGTCTCAAAAGAGAAGCAGTTGAGGAAATGGGAAATTGTCTCGCAGCTTGAGACTGCTCCTTTAAAGTAATAATTACTTCTGACAAGAATAATAGATTAGATTTATGACGTTTTTACAAAAAATGATCGAGAAAAGGTATTTTTTGTTGTCATACGATGGCTTAGTTGTTATCATATGATGTATAATGCTAACATGGGCCAACAAGTGACTGTATATCAATTATATAATATTATGTTACATATTTTTGCAGGTTTATTAAGACATGTTAGCACAATTGAGTTTGATTTTAAAACCAATAAGTATGAAATGGATATATGTGTACTTTGGGGTTTGAAGATCGCAATAACAGTCAGCTAAATATTTTCCACAAATCAGATAACAGACAGAAAATGAGAAGTTTCTCCCCTGAGAGAAACTTTGGAGCCTGTGAGGTTAAAGGTCAGCTGCTGGCTCTCCAACCTTTGCATTGTGCCTCTTCACAGGGCGATGACACCTGTCAATCAAGCCGTGCTGAAGACCTTTATACCGTGACAAAAGCCTTTCCCTGGCTATTGAGCGGGACACCGATTCTTTCATGAGAAATGTCATGGATGTTGTGATAAAAAATGAGGTCAGCCATGTGCGGAGTTCGAGGATGTCAAAACTCGAGTGGCTTTTGGCTGAATGATACATCATTATCATTATCGTATTTGAGTGTGTGGAGGCGACGTGCAGATGTGTGTGTGGCCTTGTGTGTGGTCGGTAGGTGCCGTGGTGTGATGCATGTCCTTAATAAAAGTCCATTAGCTCTCTGCGTGTGTGTCCCCTTTGTGTATGAGCTGGTATCTTGTGAGTGTGTGGAAAAACACAGAGTGTGTCCTTGTGTGGAGACGTGTTGGAAATGGATGCTGATGGGCCGTGAATCAGAGCCCAGCGTGCTGTTATTATTTCATGTTGCTCCCTACAGGGCTGCTGGCTGTTATCCCTCACCCCGAGGTTCACTGACCCTAAGCACATTTCTTCTTCTTCTTCTTTGTTTTCTCTTCCCTTCCCCCCTCATGCTGCAACTTTTTCAACATCTTCGCTCCATCTTAAAAATTGCCAACAAACCAAGTAAAGTTTGGCTCCATGAAGCCAGCGTCTTAAAAAACACATGCCAGGACATGTTAAGAAAAACATTTCACTCAGAAATAACGCCCTGTCCCACGCAGAATAGTCACAGAAACGCAAAGAAATCAGGCGATCTTGAGCGCTGCTCGCCCACCACAACAGCAGGCCATAATTAATCCATCTCCCACTACATGCTTTTAATGAGCCTCCATCACCGTTATCCTTATGGTGCAGCGCAGCGCGGCCAAATCGAGCTGTTTCCATGACTTTGTGCTGTCAGCAAAATGTGACGAGGGACGTGTGTGTGTGTGTGTAGAGTCTTGTGTGTTACTGTCACTGAGCATCTGCGTCGTCGTTGTGCCATCCTGGTTGACGATGTTCCATCTGGTAGATGTGTGTGTTGTCTAAACAGAGGCCTACCTGCATCACTCTGTCCCTGTCTGAAAATGCAGCAGGATTATTGGAAACAGAAGCTGATGGGAGTGGCAGTGTGCTTGTGTATGTGTGTGTATGTGTGTGTATGTGTGTGTGGATTTAGCTGCCAGGCCCCTTTCAGTAACCCCCACAGGGGCCACATTAGGGCCCTCCCGGGGCCAAATTAGAGGCAGCTAACCACGTTAGAGATCGGCAGCAGAGGGGGCCTGACTGGCAGGGATGGACTGATTTCACTCCAGTCTTCTGAACTAACATACACACATCAGACACAGCAGCACACACACATCGCACACACACACAGACACACACACACACTCACCTCCTCTCTTTGTTTTGCCGCTGATCAGCAAAAGATAAAAGCCGGTTCCTGACAATGGCAGCCTTTCTGTTGGGGAGTCTGCAGGGAGATCCTGACAGAGAGGAAGAGCTGTAATGTATTCCAGCCTGGATTAGTGTGTCTGCATCGAGACGAAGTGATTTCAACTAAATTAGCCTTTAGAAAAAGGAGTTTCTTTAAATGTAATTGTATTATGGTTTTATCTATATGCACTTAATGGAAGTAGTTCCATGTGAACAGCCGTGGATGATTTGAAATGTTGATTTTAAAGAATGGTTATGTTTCTGAAAAGTCACCATGTTTTCTAAGATAGTTGATATTATGCACATAGTATTTTCATAATTGTAGCTTTATTTGATTTTTTTAATAAACCATATTTGTATGAAAAGGGCTGCTGTATCGGACACGTATACTACTATTTGGAAACCTTAAATACTACCATTCCGATACTAATACTACTTTTTGGATGCCAATATTACTATTCTAATAATTGAATACTTAGATTTTGATACTAACTCTATTTGGATAATTAATTAAATACGGAAACAAATTCTTCAATTCGGTTACTAATTAAAGTATTCAGATATTAATACTATTTTTTGGTTACGTTGAATACTTATATTCAGACACTAATACTACTGTTTGGATACTAATATATACTATTCAAATAATGAAACACTACCAGTGTCAGGAGTGCAGGATTCATAACAGGTATGTGTGATTGACAGGCCTGCCGGCACAGGTTCAAGCCCCGCCCCCTGCTTCCTGTCACACAGACATGCATGAGGTGGTGGTGACATTTGTGAAGTCTCAGAGCGTGATCATAAATCTGGATTTTATGAGCGCCCGCTGAACTCTGCAGACTGTTGACCGCGCAGCCTTGACATTCAAGACTGTGCGGCGCGAAACAAACCCGGGCTGCAACTCCCCGAGCTCAGTGATTGATTTGTCTCGGGGGGGCAGTGAAAGCCTCTCACTGTTAGGGTCAGGCTTGTTTCTGTTTATAAATGTCTTTGTTCATTACCATCATGACAAGTGGAGATTTGGCAGGCGGTGTTTACCTTTAAAAAGCATTAAAAAAAGACTAAATGTTTTGTTATTTTCCACACTATACAAATGCATACATGATTATCTTGATGTTTCTTAATTGAATTCACATGAAGACAGGGTGCACCCTTGGGAGTGAAAAGGAAGAGAGGAAAGATTGAATCCTCCAAGCTGGAGTCAAATCAAGTCATTAGGAGTAGGAGGAGCCAGAGCCAGGTTCCCACACCTTTATGTTTGCTGATCAGACAATAGGCAGCACTGCTCTCTGAATAAACACCAAAAATCCAGGTTTTTGTGTGATAAGCTGTAATGGGGTTCAGAGAGGTGGTTTTATCAGGGTTTGTGCTTCTCCTCTCTGGTGGAAATGTTTGTGTTGCAACACGGAAATGTTCACACACCAATGAGACGGTGAACCAAACGTCGCAAGAACCGCAGACAGCAGATCATCAGTCAGACCTGACGGAGCATGTAGATCCAGAACGTTCTCCTGTCACATACCGGCTCAAGGTCTACCAGCTCAGGAACTCTTCTGCCAGCAAACCGCCTCGGCCTCGTTCTCAAAACCAGCAGAGCTCTGGAGCCACAGAGCTGACCTCGGAGCAGCTGGAGCTAGAGGTGACTGTGCAAGCTGAGGAGTTTGTGAAGCTGCTGTTTAAAGGCCCCGATCTGAACCCAGCTTTCAAGCCACAATCAAAGGTATGACTTCCATGCAGCCATGTTGATGTTTCGCACCATTTTAAGTTCAGTGTAATTCAAATGTGACTGATGTTCCAGGTGCGGGCGCTTGTGATAAAGCAGAGGGTGCCTGTGCCGGCCGACAGCATCGCAGCGCGCTGTGGGGAAGGAGAGGTCACCGTAGAGGTCAAACAGAACTTCCTAGGTAATGTTGTTTTTAATCCACAGTGGCACAGCCATTCAAAATGCCTTCTGCTCTATGTCTAAAAAAAGAAAGGGTTAGAAACCCAAATTGGAAACTTTAATGGAACGGTGAAGATGGGACACTGTGCTGATTACTGCAAATGGCACAGACTATAGACTGTGGATCAATATTATGTTTCCTTTTATTTCTTCACTCCGAGAAGAAGCATTCTGAATGCTGACTCTCAGTGATACATTAAGAAACCTTTGTATTTGTCCTGTGGCTGAACCTCCCCTGGCTGGGAGTGTTATTGACTGGATGAGGAAAAGAAAATGGCCTCAGGTAATGGGTCCCCGATTTTAAGCTGCACCTTTCCCTTCTTTGTTCCTAGGAAACGGTCAGTTGATCCGACCGAGTGATCTGACCTTAGGGGGCTGCGCCGCAGTAGACGCCGCCAACCACATCCTGCACTTCCAGACGGAGTTACAGGGGTGTGGCAGCACAGTGACGGTGTGTGTCTCTCTGATAGTGTCCATCTTCTCATGGGTATCTGAAGTAACAGTGGATTTTTTTTTCCTCAGATTACCGAAGAAGCCCTCATCTACTCCTTTTATCTGCTGTACTCTCCAACACCTATTGGCAACACCTTTATATTGAAAACCAACCCTGCTGAGGTGGTAATTGAATGCCACTATCAGAGGTAAAGTCTCATTATTTCCCCTCTTTGAAAGCACTTATATTAAAAGTCATAGTAATAAATCAAGGCCTTATCATCACTACTGTTTTTTCCTTGTAACTTTGGCCAGAAAACAGGTTTCAAATAGCATTTTGTAATGTTTTAAAACCACGTTTGTAATGGTTTGAATGTAGCTTAGCCCTTCAGAAACCATGTTATGGTCATATCTTCGTGCCTATATGTTCTCCTCCTGTCTGTGGCCCACATCCTTCTGCCTCCCTCCAGTGAAATGCCCGTCCTTCCTGTAATTGTCCTCACAGGAGACATTACGTGAGCAGTGCTGCCGTGAGGCCTACCTGGACGCTGTTCTCCGGCGCCATGTTGACAGAACAGCAGCTGCACCTCTCCCTGCGTCTCATGACAGGTGGGCAACACGCTCGAGAAAAAAAAACAACAAACCTTGAGCTGATGCTCTGCGAGTTAAAACTCAGATTCTCTACCAGGCGCTTTGGTTAATTTCCCCAGCGACGGGTGTAATTGCAATCACTTTAAGGCCTCGCAGACGTTGTTTAAGATGCTAAGCAGCAGTGCCTTGATAAACAGAACTTTGATGCATGGTGATGAGCTGAAATTAAAGCCTTGTAGGCACAGTTGACCTCAAGGGGTCACTCGCACAATAAAGTGATCAATAAAACAGCTGATTATGCTTTCTAATTAATGCAAACACAGCAGACTGCAACACATTGTCTGTTGTGAAAAGTTAGCCTATGTCATTTGCTCATTGTATAATAAACTTGAAAGTTTTATAGGGGCCCTATTGTGCTAATTTTCAGGTTCATATTTGAATTGTGTGCCTCTACTCTGACATGCTTCCATGATTTAATGTTCAAAAAGGTATGAAGTCCCCAAAAATCAGGCCACTTTCAAACAAGTTTGCATCTGTGTTTCTTCCAGGTTAAGGACGCTCCATCTGTAATTAATGTATTGCTATTTTAAAGTACTTTTCTCCTATTATTACGGTGCCTGTATCTGATTCCCTGCTGTTGCACTGACCCACTCTTCCCCATGGGCATCATTTAGGTTTCATATAATCCAAATTGATGGCCGAACATTACTCGTCCACTTATAGTTATTCCTTCCTCTGTATTGGATTAGAGGACTGGCAGTCGCAGAGGCCTTCCAGCGTTCACTTCCTGAGTGACATGATGCACATCGAGGCGGCGGTCCTCCAGGGTCACCACGTCCCTCTGAGGGTCTACGTGGACAGCTGCGTGGCCACCGCGACCCCCGACCCCAACTCTCAGCCCAGATACCCCTTCATCAGCAACCATGGGTAAACATTCATGAAGCAGTATTTGCCTAAAAGAGCCAGCTAGTCATAATAATCCAAATTGAGGTTTATTTGCACGTCATGCGGTACCCATTAGGAGCGTTTACGGCCTGCCGGTGTTTATGAATATGAATCATGCGCCTGTATTTTTCCATATAAGGTGTTTGAGCGATATTGGGCCGGCAGGAGCCAAGTCTTACTTCATGCAGAGGAGCCAGGAGGATAAACTTCATTTCCAGCTGAAAGCCTTCCAGCAAGATCACAGGAATTCGGTAAGTACGAGACGTGTTTATAATATGATTTTTAGGATTCTTGAGTCATTTATTTAACAATTTTTCCTTCCATGCATTTACAATTCGAGCAATCTGATCTTGATTTGACCATGCAAAGTGTTTCATTCACATTCCTCGGTTGTCTCTTGCGTGCTAAGTTGGCACATAATGTACACATTAGTAAGTGTTGTTTGACAGCTATAATACCCTCCGTTGCTGTCTGTGCTTAGTTCAAATTCTTTCCTACTGAGGAAATGGGAGCTCTTACAGGTAGTGTTAAACCAAGTGCCTTAATATACTGTAAGTTGATGAAGCATGGATGGAGCTGAGCCAGTATCAAATCAGAAAAGTGTATTGCTGTACAATCAGAGCTTTGGTTTAACGTAATCTTTTATGCTTTAAAATGTCTAAAGATTAGTGGAATATTTATATATTTTAGGTTGTGTACTTCTATGATCAGAAAATATTTTTAAAATAATTAAAACCTAGAGAAATGTGTAATTTTTAATCAAGGCAACGACAGTTTTATTTGGCCACCTTATGCATGCATCAGGTTTGTGTTTGCAGTTGCATCCATTTCTGCATCCTGAAAGATTTGATTTAAAGTGGAGATGCAGTCTGAATATAATGTATGAATATAAATGTGTTTTTAAATGTCCTTAGCTCTACATCACATGTCACATGAAGGCAACAAAAGCCTCCGTTCCCATCGACTCGCAGCACAAAGCGTGTTCCTACCTGACTGAAGCGAACAGGTTTGTTCACACAAAGAAAATGCAAAGATGTGTGACTTTATTTTTCCAACTTACCATGCCTCTGTAACGGCCTCTTTTCCTGTCCCTGGACAGATGGGTGGCATCGGGTGGAGACAATAAGGTGTGTGGCTGCTGTGAGAGGAGCAGCTGCAGCGAGCCGAGGTGGAAACGAAGCCTTGCAGCAGATGCAGGTACGCTTTACAGAATCACTACAGAACACTCTGGGATGAATCTTGAACATCTCATACTGAGACGTTTTGATACCATCGCCACTGCTGTCAAAATATTTTTCCGTACATTTATCAAAAAGATATCACCGAAAAGCTATTTGTGTGTCCATCTGAATAGTTTTAAAGTATAGGAACATTTATTTTCTAGCGACAGGGACTGAAATATAATCAGCTACAGACCAGCAGAGGTTGCACCCATATTTAGACAAGCTAACTTACCCTCATTTGGCACCAGGCATCTTTGGGGGATTGGTTTTGAGCTGATCCGTTTTAAATTGTTCAGTCGTATCATGAATGGTTGAATCAGCTGGCTAAATGCGCCATAAAGTATGTTGATTTTTCATTCCCCTGTGCAGGCCTGGTGCAGTGGGAGGAGGGGGCGGCTCTGGGCCCCGTCCTGCTGCAGGAGAACATCCTAACCCAGAAGCTGACAGCGCTCCAAGTACAGGAAGTGACTGGAGCAGGTAAAACGACAACAAGAAAATGCATTTACTTACTTATTTTCTTTCTAGAAACTGATATTATTTGTCTTCTACTCTCATTTTAAGCCTCCTATACGTCCCTGGCCCTGCTGTGTGGGGTGGGGGCCGCGCTGGCTGTGGTGCTGCTGCTCCTCATGGGTGCTATCATCTGCAGCAGACAAAACAAACCCTCTGGACACTTTGTTAGTACCTGATTAAGACATAAAAAATGTATAACAAAGCTCTACGCTTCCTTTATTCTTTGCTCAGGAGAAAAACTGTTTTCCCCTAGCTACTGATTTAATAATCCATCTTGGAGTCAACACTTTTCCGGCTTTGAGAATACTTTTTTAGTTATTTTGCATATTTCTCTGCAGGGCTTGGCTGTATTTGGTTGCATCTGTACAGTGTGTTCCATGCTACACTCTAGGTTAAGTGTTATGAGCTTGCCGGGGTTAAAAGGGGTTAAGCTGTAGAGTCCAGCCCTGCAGAAATGACCCGCTCATAAAATGTATGCTGTGTACACACTGCTGTGTATATTGCTCTATCAATCAGCAGGCTTTTATACCAAGCAGGGTTTTACACGGTTTGGAGACATGCAATAAATGAATACTTTACTTAATATCATTCAGGTTCTCATAATGTGCAGGGGCGTATCTGGGATGTTTTAAATGGGGGTGTGTGTTTCTTTCATGGTGCATTGTGGGTGTTTTGCCATGTCATATCTATGCAGCCATGTGTTACGGATTGAGATGGCTTTTTCTGCAAAATAACAATTGCATTTCAAGTTTATTTATGATTTTTGCTTAAATCGAGCAGCACTGGTGGCCTGTGACTGACCTTTTATACACACATATTAAAGTGGAAATAGAGTAAAGACAAGAGGCAAATGTACGAGCCCTGAAGTGGCCCAAAGTGCCAGCCTGCATGCTTAATTCATGCACGGATGATTTGTACGGTTAATTTTTCGGCAGCCTGCAGCAAGTCCAGCCATTGCCCTTATCTCATGGAGCTAATTTAATACACACCATTACTACCGAGCTGCCGTGTTACTCACTCGAGCTGCGTGAGATTTCTCCATCTCCATACTAATCCACATCTAAAACAAAGAAAACCCCTGGATGAAAAAATGAAATAGAGTGCCTTTTGGATTCGTGCTGCGCGGTAAAACATAAAATACCATTCCGGTAACAATAGTCATATTTTAGCTTTGGGCCTTTTTTGTTATTCCCCCCCCTTTAATTCACCCCCCCCCCTCCAGCTTCATGCCAGTGGTGGAGTATTCGTGAAATGGGGCTCATCATGAACTGTTGCTCACAAGCCCGGGAAGACGAATAGACATAATTAAAAAGCCCATAAAGGCGAGAGCAGGGCTTTTATTACAGTAATATGTGAAGGCCTTGGTTTAATGGGGTGTTTGTTCCCGTGTGCAGGGCTGACGGCTGCGCTACTTTACTGCTGGAGCCACGCTGACCCCCTCCCATCTCCAACACACCAGAGGCTAATAAAAAGCCATACCTAACGATGCACCAGCAGTAGGCATGACAGCGAAAAGCATGCGCATAATCGAAATACACCCACACAGCGCTCCCTTAAAACGAGTCATTCAGGATGTGGGGACGGGGTTTTATTAGGATTTTGGGAAAGAATACAGAACAACAAAGAGATGATAACTCTTTTCCATTAGAGTCCAACACTCTGATGGTTCTTCTCACTGGTGAACACGTTTAATGGGTTAAAACTGCATTCATCGATGACTTAAATCACCTGAGGGCAGCCGAACAAGCTATAAAGACTACATATATAAAAGATAATTTAGCTCATTGTCCCCTTCTCCCAGAGCTCTTCACTACGTCTCATGGTCTCCATCAGCACATGGAAAAAGCATCTAAGAAGTGCTAGTTGACCCACAGTTCACCTTTTTTTTGTCAGGGTACTATTTCTTAAGGCTGAAAATGAGCATAATATGTCCACTTTAATCACAATGTTGTATTTTGACGGGGCAAAGCTTATCTCCCTTACATGCCGACTTTGGTGTGACAAATGTGTGTTATCTTTCCATGCAAAACTTGCCTGCAGCTCTGAGAGGAGTCAACAGAGTGTAAAAGGTGTTAATGTCTTGTTATGACCGCAGAGAATCATCACCATCATCATCATCACAGCCCACCCACAGATGTCTAACGGTTATGGCGGCATGGGCTCATGCTGAAAAGCAAAATGGCAGAGTCCTGAATCAGCCATTTTACCCCGGCAGGATGTGTGACCCTGAGGGCACACGCACACACACACACACGGCATCAAAAGTAATGGTGTGTGTCCAGTGGCAGGCAGGGAGAGTCCTCTCATGTCTGGCAGCCATAACGATATTATTGCTGTAGATGGAGCGTGCTGAGGAATACTGTTCCACGCCATTGGTATTCTGCAGACGTCCACGTACCGCACAGCGCTGGTGATGACAGCAGACGGTGTTAACACCAGACTTCTTAGTTGATGATTTTGAGAAGAAGCCACAACATGTAGATCTCTCCACGAGACAGGGAAACTGCATCTGGAGAGGCGGTTTATCTGCCTATTCTTTTCACAAAAGATGGCTACCATTATCAAAGAGATGCTGCTGTGTTATTACTCTAAACCTTTGAAAATTAAGACAAATAACTCTATAATTTACTAGATAGTAACTGGCTTTAATTATTCACTCCTTCTTTGAATTTAAATGCATATCAAAGGCTGTTTAATACTAGCCATGAGTGCTCATTGTGATGTTTTACTCCTCTGATAATATTACATCTGGGTCTAGGGAACACACGTGCACACATACGTGCACGCGACCTCTGTCCAGGCCCATAATTAACCCTCTTAATTAAGAGGGAAAAAAGTTGCTAACGAAGGAAATGGATTTAATTAGCTCGGTCTTAGCACAGGCACATGTGCACGTCGTATAAACGCGCACACACAAAACAATTAAGCCTCTTTTATCCCGGCTAATGGCTTCAGTGACTCAGAGCCTTTCTCATTAAGACTATCAATAATATGCTGATTACATGCATCCACCGCTCTCCTTTATCGGGGCACAAAGGGACGAGTGTGTGTCCCTGAGGTTCCAGGGGGGGGGGGCGGTCTGTCTGCGCGCCTTATCTGCTAAAATAGACGTTTGAATTGTTTGGCAGCAGAAGCTAAAAGAGGCTTCGCCGTGTCTTTATTTTCTGACTTTTATCTTATCGAGGAGGGCACGCGTGTCTTTCACAGGGGGAAGTGCCTGTGAAGTGTCTGAGGGCTTCATGGGGGCCACATAATAGACTGAAGAGTTGGTGAGTACTGTAGTCGTACATCTGCTGGCTTTTTATCAAATAAGTTCCTGCCTCTTGAACTTCTGATCCGTCATCTGTCTGTATACATTTGTAATCACCTTCAGCACATATATTCCACTCCTTTTTCCTCTTTCCCTTCCCCCCCCCTGTCATGTTTTAAACAGAGATAGTTCAGAGAGACAGACAGGCTTCTGTCACACAGGCAGGAAGACAATAGATCTGTGCTTTGACCTTCAGTCTCTTCCTGTTGTAACAGACTCGGGGTCCCCCAGAGGAGAACAGAGGAAAGCGGGGTGGCTTGACCTGCAGTGCCGCACCTTAACCCCCCCCCACCACATCCCTGATGGGGGCTGCCATGCTCCCTCTGATCTCCACTGTTTTCCAGTCTATGCTATTGTGCGATTTGTTTTTCATGTAAGTTCTAAGGGTCCCATGTGGCCCCCTATAGAGCCGACAGTCAAGGCTTTGTTCGGTTCCCAGCATCCTTTTTTAAATTCTCAAATACAAGAGTTTTCCAAATCATAACAGATTGTAGATAACGTGCATGCTGTGTCACCAATCATGTTGGAAGGGTTGACCAATAATGCATTTTTATCATTTAGAAAGTTTATGCAGTTATAAAGCGCATTAAAACGTACATTTGTATTAGGCTCAATGTCCACGTAGCTTTTTCTTGAGCTTTCAACTGCATTTTACAGTTTTCATCAGCAGTATTTCTATCTTGAGTTACGATTCAATTATTTTCTCATTGTTTCTTGCACACATATGCATTATTGTGACAGACATATTGGTGGGAGAGAAAACCCTTATTAGAGGAACACTCCAGTATTACACTACTGCCCACCAAATAGTCGCTTGACAACCAATATCGACTGACGGTCTTTTTTACAAACTTCTTCAACAAGACAAAGAGACGTTATTCAACTGTTACAAGTGGAGTGACCTTTATCAGTAAACGCCTCCTTCATTATTGTGATACTAATTGAAGATTATCCTCAGCCCTTCGTGCGGCCTGCCTGCAGATCTCATGCCAACCATCTACCTCTGGACGACCTCTAAGAGTAACAAAACAGAGAAAGCTCAGGAAGAATGAATTCATCACTTTTCCCCTAAAGTTGCAGTTCCCTTTTATCTAAGTTATGTTGTTCCAAAACAGCATTCCTCTTAACCATATGTAGATGTTCCCTGTGAGCCAAAGGCAACAGCTCCCAAAATGAAAACAAAGTGTTTCTCGGAGGCCTGTGTTCCCATGGCTCCTCATCAGCTGTGCCAACAGCACACCGCAGAACCTCGGCCCGGCGTACGGGAAATAAATCACCATCTGCACCAGGGAAGTTAACACGGATGTGATTTACTGCAGAACAGATGTATTTTCTTACTGAAATAACATGAGATCCATCCCATAGTGAACCCTACACCTTCCTTTTAACCACCAGGAGGATAATCACAACAAAAGGCCTCCTTCCGTTTATTCCCGCTTCAGATGTGTTTGTTTTTTTGACACAATGGATGAAAATATTTCTATCTTTGGGTGTTTTTCATGTCCTTTAATGGGAATGTGCTGATGTTTGATCCTAGCTCTCAGGTAGAGGCCGCAGACAATAAAGGGATAAGAAGACCTCTCATTTATGGTTTCTAATATACACATGTTTGTCCTACATACCACGACCTTTAATCCTGATTGGCACGCTGAAAGGGGATGAACACACGGCACACACACACTCCTTTATCATTCAAAGTGCATCAACCTGAATAAATAAATCCCCCCCTTATCTCGCAAAGCAAAACTGGATAAGCGCTCCCACCAGGTCTGCATGGAGGAAGCTGTCAGCACCTCTATTTTGGTTTGCTTGAGCCTCAGACAGAGAGAGAATCCTGTTTTTCTCTCAAATCCATCCTCCTGGTTTTCAATCCCCGGAGAGCCGTTTCCCTCCATGTGCGTGAGACCTATATGCTCCCGCCACACAGTCCATACATGATCCCTCTTTCCTGCTTATCTTTCGGAGCAGGGCCTATATCTCTCAGCAGCCGATAAATCCGCAGAAAATGCAGGTTAGGAGGAAAGAAAACTGGATTTTTTTCCCCTTTAAACCTGTTTGCTAGATATATTTGCCATTACTCGTTTCCACACTATTGCCTTGCTATATCACACCCATGTATCTGTTTTGACACCTGTAGCTGCTCTGAACACGGGGTACTGGTTTTATCTCTGGCCCGGTATCAAGAATTGGATGTTTCATATATAAATACAGTAACAGGATTATGGTTATTATTATAAATAATGAAAAATAATACATTTATGCAGCCCATGCCA